TATATATATATATATATGTGTGTGTGTGTGTGTGTGTGTGTGAAATAGGCTTTTTTTTGTATTTTATCTTAAAAAAGTTTAAAGTAACAAATGATTAGTCATTAAACTTTAAAATGAGATAATATTAAAGATAGAATTTACTATTTAAATAATATTATTGATAATTATTATTATTGATTTTTTGTAAAAAAATAACTTTATTTTATCTTATGTGTAAAAGTTTATGATAACAAATTATTATTCTATAAACTTTTATGATTTACTATATTAAATGTAGAAGTAGTACTCAATTAATATCGCAAATCATTACATAAAATTAAAATAATTTATATGTAAAATAGGTCTCTTTTTTGCATTTTTAATTAAAAGAAAAAAAAATTATAAAAATTTGTTAGAAAGTGAATAATCATTAAACCTCATAATATTATTAAAGATAGGATTCTTATTCAATTAATATTATTAATTACTGTATATTTATTCATTAATATCTTAACAAAAGAGATCAAATTTCATTTTTATGTATTTTTATTTTTTTATAACTATTTTTATACAAAAATTTAAGCTAACAAATAGTTAGTCATTAAATTCTCACAATCAAATAATGTCAAAGACAAAAAAAGTTATGCATATTTGGATAACTTTTAACTTTCATTAAAACAAAAAAAATATTTAACCTATACAAATTCACACGATAATAAATGACTATTTTATAAACTTTTTAATCTAAGTAGCATTACTCAATTAATTACAAAATATTGCATGATTTAAAATCTTTTCCCCTAAATAAAATCCAATTAGAAAATCATAGTTTCTAAAATCTTATTTAATTGAAATCTGACATAATCACATGAATTGTGATCCAACATTGAACACAAACATAAGAATAAAGAAAGAAAATAAAAAGGAAAACGTTGCAGACAAAGTGAATAAAAAAAATAATCATTAAAAACTGTCAATGTGAGAATAACAAAAAGTTGGAAGAAGAATTTTTTTACAAATCTTATATTAATCGACGAACAAAATTAACAGTTCCATCTCTTTTTAAAAAAAGAAATAAATTAAATACAATGATAAAAAGAAAATAATAATGACATAATATTATCAACTTGTAGGGACATGATGAGGCAATACTTTATTGATATACACCATGAGAAAAAGAAGAAAACGATGGAAGGAAAAAAAAACAATCAAATAAAATAACCTTTGAAGATAGGTTTTATCTTCTTTGCCTAATTGCTTATAGACTTTTGTGATGTATAGAAAACTCTCCATAAGGGAAACACGCGAATAAAAGCAAAAAATACTTTTCAGTTTTTATCAAGTGCATTCTTTTTTTACATTTCTTGGAAAAAAAATCTTCTCCTCCTTTTTCTTTGAGAGTATTTCCCTTTAAATAACCAAAACCAATTGATCTTTATTAGGAACCGTGTCACTCCATAACCTCCTATTTTTTAGGTGTCAGCAAATAATTACTAAAAATAACTATTATTACTTTATCTTCTCATATTTCATTCTCATTATTTCCTTACTTTTAGCTTTGTAGTTATTGATGTTAAATTTCACTTGACTGTAATTGATTTATTTTCTCATAATTAATATGTTTTCTTTTTTTTTTTTTTCTTTTTTTTAATTAAAAAAATATCTGAATTGTACTATCCGTACTACTATGCCGAGCTTGAGCTCGACATCATAACGCGAAGTGACCTCGGACACGCGCTAGGCGACATCGGCTCGCTATCCAATTAGGTCATAAACTGATCTCGGGCCCAAGGCCCAACAAACTCATAATACACACAAAGGTACGTGCATTACTTATACGAGACTCATACACCCACAAACACTAACTTTAGCATTGGAGTCTCTTTTGCAGGTACCACCCCCATCTTGGAGCATCAAGCGTACCAGCGAAGAAGACTCACCAATTTTATTCGGAGGATCATCTCTACAGCAGATTTCTGGTAAGAACATTTGGCGCCCACCATGGGGCTGATCAAGATAGCTCTTATCGGCCACTCTTATGGATTCTACCAGAAGCCATAGCAGACGCGCAACAAACAACCTAGATCACGCAACTACCATGGACAACGAAGCAGCATTGAGAAGGCTGATCAAGCAAGTCGAGCAGATGTGGCAGCAACACACCATCAATAGCGCACCTCTGATCAACCCCCTCAACCGAGACACCTAAACGAGGAAGAGGGGCACTCGGTTTCTCAATCACCAATAGCGCATAGGACACCGACTCCAAAGCCTGCCACGCATTGATCTCATGCACCGACACACAAATCGGCCCATGAGGTCAGCAATGCTACTACTCATGTCGCGGGGGATCAACCAACCTCCCGCCGTCATCTTTTTGTGGATGGCATTATGGAGACGCCACTCCTTCTTGGATGGAAGCCTCTCCACCTCGACCGCTACGACGGCACGACAGACCCAGAAGAGCACATCAACCTATACACCACACACGTAAACCTCTACACCAATAACGATGTTATTCTGTGTAGGGTTTTTCTGACCTCGCTCAAAGGGGCCGCGCTCAACTAGTACACCCAGCTACCTGCCGAGTCAATTGACAGCTTCGACACCCTGGTCAGACGATTCACGGCGCAATACGCAATGAGCCGACCTCATGTTCTGAAATTTGATTGCAGTAAGCTGAATAACATGAAGAAAGGGATTACACATGGAGAGGCATCTCCACTTCTTGATAAAATTGTGTTTGATAAGGTAGTGATGTGTTGTGTGCTTGATAGAGTATACTCGGGTAAACTCCTGAAAATTCTCGTGATTATTTACAATTGATGATCTTTCCATCAACATTTAATGTTGATTGTCAAATCATGATTTCGGTAGGGCAAAGCTAAGCTGTAAAATATTTCTTGATCACTGGAGTGGCATTTTTCTTATTTTTCTTTTCCATTTTTCTTCCTCCCCTGTACCAACTGGAAATATATGCATTATGACTCTCATCCCTCATCTTATACTCAGGTTTGACACAAAAGATTTCTTCCGGTGGCTTCTTAAAGAAGACATTATTCAACTTCGCATATTCATAGTAAGTGCTGTTTTCGTAAATAATTACTTGAGTCTGGGTGAAATCATGACAAACCTGCAATTATGAACTGTCATGGGTCCTCTCTAAAGATATTTATGGTATAATGGAACTAAGATAGTTCCCATTTGAATTCACTTACAAATTAATATTAATTTTTATTAGGTTGTATCTAAATCAGTGGGAGGGATGTGTATTTAATTAGCTCTGCAATATTCTAATAATGCAAATTCTGAAATTTGATTGCAGTAAGCTGAATAACATGAAGAAAGGGATTACACATGGAGAGGCATCTCCACTTCTTGATAAAATTGTGTTTGATAAGGTAGTAAATTTATAAATGTGAACTTCGCAGTCTCTCTTATTACAGGATTTTTTATTTATAATTTTTTTACTAATCATGGTTTTGCTACTTGATTAGATAAAGCAAGGTTTAGGGGGTAGGGTACGTCTTATTTTGTCTGGAGCAGCACCTTTATCTGCACATGTGGAAGGTTACTTACGGGTTGTGACTTGTGCTCATGTCCTACAAGGATATGGTATGCTCTTTTTAAATACGAAAATCAAACTCACACTATGCTACTATTCTGGTCTTAATTTTAAACAACAAATTGGGTTTTTCTTTGGTAATAATTATACGCAACAATTATTAGTTGGGAGGAAGAAAAATGGAAAAGAAAAATAAGAAAAATGCCACTCCAGTGATCAAGAAATATTTTACAGCTTAGTTTTGCCCTACCGAAATCATGATTTGACAATCAACATTAAATGTTGATGGAAAGATCATCAATTGTAAATAATCATGAGAATTTTCAGGAGTTTACCCGAGTATACTCTATCAAGCACACGGGGAACAGCACAGAAAATAGTTGGTTTAAGTTCCCCAATATCTTCAATTAACAATTTGACATCCTACAGCCATTGTGTTAATGATGGTCATATTCCAAATCTAAAGTTCAATTATTGCATCAAATCTTCATTCCGTAATGACATATGCAACATATACTCACCCCACGCCAGAAACCTATCGAAGCACCATGCCAAATGAATGTCTCCTCAATGACCCTATCAAAAATATGTGCAAGAGGGAGGTATGATATGTATACATCTTTCTCAGTCAACTGCAGAGAAGGAAAAAAGAGGGGAGATTATGAAAGTCAAAGAAAGGACAGCTAAACATTTAGTATCCTAAAACTGAAAAACAAAAAAAAAATGGACTACAATCAGCAACTTAAATTGAATGAAATTGCATCTTGGGTGTTCTCTGTATATTCATGTATTTGCAGGTATAATGCAGGAGTTGTGAAATAAAACGACATACTTG